TTAAAGAGTAGAATATGAGTAAACTAATTTAGATCAAGAACACACTCAATTCCTCAAGAAATGGCTCTAAAAAGCTATGTAAAAAGTTTATGGAATGATGCAATGTAAAGCTATGAAATGTGTGAGGAATGGTTGTGAAATGTAGACCCAAGAGACCCCTTTTTATACCCAAAAACAAGGTGCAACGGTTGGGAGAAGATTGGGGTTGATTGGCTTGATTTGTGGAAATCAAATAAAAGTGGATCTACTGAAATCTAGCCCGACAGCGCTGTTCATGTAGTGAACATCTCTGTTTTGGCTTTGACTTTCCTTTAAAAATGGCTAACGGTCATCAAAACATCGATGTCTAGAAGTTTACATCGATGTTGGGGTGTTTGACTTTCAAAAATGGAAAGATTTTGTCTTAAATAGCCCAACGATCATTTGAAAACATCGCTGTTCAACCATGAACATCGCTGTTCAAAAACTTACTGCCCAGGGCTTCTGAAGGCCAACATCGCTGTTGGGATTTCCGACATGCATGTTGGGATGGTTTGCCAGAACCATGGTTTGGCAGCCAATGCCGAAAACCGATGTCAAAAACCAAAGTTCTCCAAAATGAAAACAAAGTATTTTAAACTCATATACAATGTATTTTATGTAGAAACCAAGTATAAAAACTTAAAAACCACTTCATTAAGGTAAAAACCACGGCTAGCCAAGTTTATGCCGTTTCACATGGTTTTCACCAAAAGACAAAAAATGAAAGGTGGTTTTTAACATGTTTTTGTTGGAGAACTATTTGGATATGCCCAGAAGTAAAAAAAATCATAAAATCTTAAAAACCACTTGATTGATTTGGGCACCAAAAACCAACACCGATAACCGGCACCGAATGCCGATAACCAACGCCGAAAAATAAAGGTTATGGTTTTTGAAAACTAATCATTTGGAAAACCTTTAAATGTGTCCAAAAGCATAAACCAAAGATAAAAACCCAAAAACCATTTGGTTAAAATCAATGCCAATAACCAATGCCGAAAACCGAATGCCATAGCCGAACGCCGATAACCGATGGTTATGGTTTTGGTTAAGCAAGAACCATGGGTTTTAGAAAATTAAAAACCATTTATGAAAACACTAATTTGATGCATGAAAAACATATTTTGTTTTGAGCCATGACGTAGAGAAATTGAATGAGCTTGTTATAATAAAACCTAAGTGTTTAGAATACGTCTTCAAAGCGCCAATGTCACCATCTTTAGCAACGTCAATGCCGTTCTTGTGCTTTTTGTTTGTTCAAAGAACTTTTTCTATCTTTTCATTTTGTTCCATGTTCCCGATGGTTTGTCAATATCAAAACCTAAACGGAAACAAACATTGTCATTAGCAAAATGTCAAAGTGAAAATGTTTTCCAACACCTGCAAAATCATTTCCTGTAATAATGATGTCATCTACATAAACAACCAGTAAGATGATTCCACCCCTAGATCGCTTATAAAAGACAGAATTATCAGATTGGCCTTTCACCATTCCGAACCGCTCGATTACTTGGCTGAATTTGCCATACCATGCACGAGGACTTTGTTTTAGTCCGTATAAAGATTTATGCAGCCGACATACCTTCCCATTCTCCCCCTGAGCAACAAACCCTGGAGGTTGCTCCATATAAACCTCTTCCTCAAGAGCACCATGAAGAAACACATTTTTGATATCTAATTGATGCAACGGCCAATCATGACATGCAGCCATAGAGATGACAAAGCGAACAGAAGTGAGCTTGGCAACTGGAGAGAAAGTCTCATCATAATCCACACCATAGGTTTGAGCATATCCTTTGGCCACTAATCGAGCTTTGAGGCGAGCCACAGACCCATCTGGATTAACCTTAATAGAGAAGACCCACTTGCAACCAATAGATTTCTTGCTGATCGGCAATGAAACTAGACTCCAAGTATGATTTTGCTCCAAGGCTTTCATCTCTTCTATCATGGCAGTACGCCATCCAGGATGAGAGAGTGCTTCTTTGACAGTTTTAGGAAGAGGGATAGAATCTAGAGAAGAGGTGAGTGCACAAGCAGTAGAAGACAAATGATCATAAGAGACACAATTAGAAATAGGGTAGGTGCAAGACCGCTTACCTTTGCGCAAAGCGATGGGTAGATCATCAGCATGATCAGGATCCAACGAAGAAGTGCTTGACTCAGGGGGTGAGACTGGTGTAGGGGTAGGTGGTTGATCAGTCAATGTGGCAGGAAGAGATTCAGGGACAACTGAAGGTGCATCTGGTTTTTTTCTGCGGGAGTAAACCTGAATGATGGGAGGCACACCAGTAGAGGGCATTGTAGCACTAGAGGTAGTGTAAAATAAAATGTCACCAAAACCCTCCCCCTCATTTACAGAATCTGTAGGTGAAGAAAAAGGAACATGCTCATGGAAACTCACATCGATGGAGACAAGATATCGACCAAGACTAGGACAATAACAACGATATCCCTTTTGAACCCGAGAGTACCCCAAAAAAATGCACTTCAAGGATTTTGGATCTAGCTTAGTGACAGATGGATGAACATCCCTTACAAAACATGTACACCCAAAGATCTTTGGTGGGACTGGAAAAATAGGTTTATCAGGGAAGAGAATATGAAATGGTGGCTGGCCACCAAGGACACTCGATGGAAGGCGATTAATCAAGAAACATGCCGTGGCAACGGCATCAGCCCAAAACATCTTGGACACTTTTGATTGAAACAAGAGTGCCCGTGCAGTTTCAAGCAG